ACACGAGTAAGAAGAGAATACACTAAGTAATAAGAATGTACACTCTATATAGCGAGCGATAGCTCAGAATGAGAACATATATAGCAATAAGAATATACACTAAGTGATAAGTTATAAGAATATACATTTTAGCTTTTCCTCCCCCTCCCCTCTCCCCCTGAGCGCCACTCCGGCTCCACCGTGCTCACTCCGAGCTCTGGCTCCTGCAAAGCTAGCGCCGCCATCTCCCTTCAGCCCCCATCATGATTATCTACCTGGACCTCATCAGCCATGATGTGATGTTTTCCGACATTTACAAGATCCGAGAGATCGCGGATAGCCTATGACTGGACGTGGAGGGGAAGATGGTCAGTAGGACAGAGGGTAACATTAATGACTCCCTCATTGGTGGAAATGCTTCCGCTGAAGCACCTGAGGGTGAAGGTACTGAAAGCATAGTAATCACTGGTGTTGATATTGTCATGAACCATCACTTGCAGGAAACCAGCTTCACAAAAGAAGCCTACAAGAAGTACATCAAAGAATACATGAAGTCAATCAAAGGCAAACTTGAAGAACAGAGACCAGAAAGAGTAAAACGTTTTTTTTTGTTTGTTTGTTTGTTTTTTTTTTTTGGTTTTTGGCTGGGGCTGGGTTTGAACCCACCACCTCTGGCATATGGGGTCGGCGCCCTACTCCTTGAGCCACAGGCACCGCCCATAAAACCTTTTATGACAGGGGCTGCAGAACAAATCAAGCACATCCTGACTAATTTCAAAAACTACCAATAACAAATTTGTCAATTACTTTGGATCTACCACCTGTCATCCTAACTGGTTGCTGCTTGTCATCCACACAATACCAGGACTTAAGACAAACAGGACTGATGTCATCATGCGCTCTTCATTTATTTTGACTGTGATTTATTTGGAGTGGAGGCATTGTTTTTAAGGAAAAACATGTCATGTAGGTTGTTTAAAAATAAAATGCAGTTAAACTCATTCGAGAAAATGCCTTTTAGTTTAATACACGTTTAAACTAAATCCATCCTGTAGTGTTCCTGGAGAAGCTACAGACTGGTTGTAGGCCACTACTAGAAAGCATAAGACTGTCATCAGATAAATTCTACAGTGGAAACCACTCCTGAGACTGGAATATAAAGGGATCCAAAGTTTTAATTCTGAGTTACAGTAAAGGAAGAGACCATGTTCATAGCAGTGCCAACACTTGAAGTGGAGTCTTAACACATTTCATCACCTACAACAGAAGTAGTAACTGCGGAAGAAATTACTAAGAGTATAAAAAGATGAATTCAGTCAAAAAAAAAAAAAGAATGTACATTTTATATAGCAAGTGATAGCTCATAATAAGAATACGCATGGGCTACCGGGAAGTGGCAAATGGCCTGACCAGTTGGTCAGGGCTCTGAAAGCAATAGACAAAATGGAGAAAAGGAGGTCTGGGAAAGAGACAAGTGTATTGTAGGGCCAGGACTAGGAATATTTACACGATGCTGAGAATCAGTGCCCAGTTTGTTTCTAGGCACTTTACTTGCCTACCCAGCCCCAGCTGGGTAGGTAGACCTATGGATGTATGGAAGGTGAAGATCTTGGACCCACATTAATGCCCACCAGACAGCATCTGTCACAGGGGAGGCAGTGAATAACAAGTTGGGCAAGATACCTTATCCTGTGGATGTCAGCCAGCTTTCTCTTCAGCGCAAGGCCCCCCAGTGTGAGCACAATGGGCTGGCAGACTTAGGCTATGTGTGGGCTTGAGATCAAGTATGCCTTCTTACTAAGGTTCGAAGCCACTGCTAGTGCCTGACGTGTGTACAGCAGAGACTGACACTGCGCCCTGTACCTGGTACTCATTCCTTAGTGAAGAGAGAAAGCATCCAGCTGCATGGTAGCAGGTTGATTTACAGAAGACCCTTTCTCCTTTTGAAGGGGAAGTGATTTGTCCTTACTGGAATAGTTACAAACCCCAGCACCACCTCCCATGTGCTTACAAAATACCTGATGTCTTCATATGGCTTCCCACTTCACAATGCCTCGGACCAAGGCACCCACTTAGAGCAAAGAGGCACAACTACAGGCTCATGATGGCAAGGTGCACTCTTCCTACCCCACCACCCAGACTTAGCTTGAGGAATGATGGAGTGGCCTGTTGAAAGCTCAGGAAGGCATAACCAGGAAACAATCCCTTGTGGGATAAGAACTCTCATCTCCAGAATGAGGACTATGCCTTAAACCAATGCTCACAAGTGCTACCATGTCCCCTATAACCAAAATACACAGATCTGGGTATCAATGCCCAGAATTAGGTTAGCCAGGCATGGTGTCACACAGCTGTAGTTCCAGCTACTCAGGAGACTGAGGCAAGAGAATCACTTGAACCCAGATGTTCAAGGCTACTGTGAGCTATGATTATGCCACTGCATTCTAGCCTGGGCAACACAGTGAGACCCTGTCTCTAAAAATAAATAAAAAAAATTTTTTAAGGACTGGAATTAGGGCTTGAGGCCTGTATCTCAGTGGTTAGGGCACCGGCCACATATACCAGGGCTGGCAGGTTTGAACCTGGCCCGGGCCTGCTAAACAACAACGACAACAACAAAAAACAGCCAGGTGTTATGGTGGGCGCCTGTAGTCCCAGCTACTTGGGACGCTGAGGCAAAAGAATCACTTAAGCCCAAGAGTTTGAGGTTGCTGTGAGCAGTGACGCCATGGCACCCTACTGGGGGCGACATAGTGAGACTCTGTCTCAAAAAAAAAAAAAAAAAAAGACTGGAATTAGGAATAGATCATCTTGCTATTGTATCCAGTGACTTACTTGTGAATTTGTGCTTCTCTTCACCAAAATCTTGGCATCTTCCAGGTTGGAGGTCTTAGTTAATGGAGGGAGAAAACTTCTACCAGGGAACATGGTAAGAATCCATTAAACAGCTCAGCGCCTGTGGCTCAAGTGGCGAAGGCGCCAGTGACATACACCTAAGGTGGCGGGTTCGAATCCAGCCTGGGCCCACCAAAACAACAACAATGGCTGCAACCAAAAAATGGCCGGGCGTTGTGGCGGGCGCCTGTGGTCCCTGCTACTTGGGAGGCTGAGGCAGTAGACTAGCTTGAGCCCAGGAGTTGGAGGTTGCTGTGAGCTGTGATGCCACAGCACTCTACCCAGGGGGATAGCTTGAGGCTCTGTCTCAAAAAAAAAAAAAAAAAACTGCTAATAGTGTTGATGCTATTAACAATGTGCTTGGTTGGAGGAAATTCCTCTTTCATCCTCCAGGGTTGTCTAGTTTTGCCCTGACCAGCTCCATTATCTATTCAAACAGAAGCCAGGCCCTCCTCCCTAATCCCTTATCTCACAGATTTCACATGACCTCAAAAAGTCCTTCCAGAAGTCTGACCACATCCTTCCGGTGGTAGTCCTGCCCTCTCTCCTCCTCATGTCTCCTCCGAGCGTACTCATGAGTAATAATCACCAGGATGCCCCAACATATTACAGGGCTTATCCTTCTGAGGTTGACGTCTCCAACCGCACAGCTCAGAACAGATCGAGAGACAGAGGGGGAGATTTTTCAAGGACAAAGCAAAAATGCAAAAAGAGAGAAAGAGAGAGGGAGACCATGGCAGGAGAGTGAGGGAAGAGAGAAAGAGAGAAAGGAAAGTACTAGTCTGGGGTGAGGGAACAGAGAAAGAATCAGGAGGAATGGAGGTCAGATAGCAGTTAGGACTTCAGTACCTAAACAGTGCCACAAATATCCACCACCGCCATGCTACCACTCCCTTCAGCAGCACAGCTTCTAGGGGTGGGACAATTGTCTGAGGCCTTTCCATGACGTGAGTCTTCTGCTGGTGCTTAGGCTGTGGGTAAGGTGACATTTCCTGCCTCCGGGGGCTGGGACAAGAGAAGAGATGAGTCGCTGAGTGTGCAGACCCTTCCAGAGCTCATAGAAACACCCTGCTGTGGGGTCCCTTCATAGGCTGAGCCCATGGAGTTCCCCCTGACCCAGATATGCCCCCAAGGTAAGTGTGAAGCTTGAGAATGTGGGTGGGAGGGGACATCAAGACCATCATCCCTCGGCTTGCTTTCCTGGACCTGACCTTCCACTTCAGAGGTGAGGGGCTCCATGCCATGCCAGAGCTGGCAAAGCTAATTGGCATAACCCCTGCTCACTCTCGGGGGCTCCATGTCCACTCATCCCTGAAGGCAGAGGTGACAGGGCTTGCTGAGTGCTTCCTACAGAGGAGAGGAAGCAAAAGGATGAAGGAGGTGGGGGGACGCAGAGGACCCTGTGCCAGAAGAGGAGCCTGCCTTGAAAAGACTGGGCCTTTGGGCCATGAGAAGGCAGCCTCACTCCTGGGCTGTCCTTCCTGGCACCGATTACCTGACAACACCCACAGTCAGCATTAGCCCTGTATTACACCTTGGCTCCTTACTCCTCATCCCTGAGAAGTCCCCCTGATCCTATGGGGGAGAGGGGGAGTGAGAAGCGGAGAGCAAGGCAGTCCCCCTCTGAGAAACCCCAACAGGCCTCTCTATGCTAACAGGGAGTCACAAAGCCCCCACCCCGACCTTCAGCACCTTCCAGCCCATGAACTTGACCCACAGAAGCTACCAAGACCTGGGCTTGCTCTCTGGGCCCAGACTCCAGGCACTGAGGACTGAGGAGGCCCAGCCCAGCCCTACAGCCCCAGAGAGCCCCTCTGCGGTGAGTGGGAACCTGAGGGGAAGGGCTGCAGTTCCCTCGTGTCGCCCACCCTTACATGGGTGAAGACTTGTAGACAAACCCAGGTCAGCAAGGAAGGAGGCAGGAATGATGGGGGCTACCAACAGGGCTAGGAGATGGAGAGAGGGAACAAAGACAGGGAGTACCTTCTTCATGTGCAGAGTTGCTCATTTGTCCCCTAGCAGCTCCTCTGCCCCCAGAAGCTCAGACTGAGTCACCTGCCTAGTCAGGGAACTTTCTACTGTGGGGTAAGCCCTAGCTCATTCTGGCCTCTGGGGTAACTTCCCAGGTCATCTCCCTTCATCCCCAGGCCAGGGAATGGCCCTCTGTCCATCTGGAATGCCTTACTGCCCCCTCACCTTATTAAAGCGCAATTTACCAGCTCACTGCTACAGGTTAAAGGTCCTCAGGGCCAGAGGGAAGAGGAAGGAGAGTCTTTAGGAACCAAAACAGCTGGAACTGAAGAAGAGATTTAGGCCGGGGACGGTGGCTCACCTGTAATCCCAGCACTCTGGGAGGCTGAGGCAGGAAGATCCCTTGAGTTCAGGAGTTCAAGATCAGCCTGAACAAGAGTGAGACCCCATCTCTACTAAAAATAGAAAAATTAGTCAGGCATTGTGGTGGGCACCAGTAGTCCCAGCTACTCAAGAGGCTGAGGCAGGAGGATTGTTCAAGCCCAAGAGTTTGAGGTTGCAGTGAGTGAGGCTGATGCTGTGGGCACTCTACCCAGCGTTACAGAATAAGACTCTGTCTCAAAAAAAAAAAAAAAAAAAAAAAAGAGCGAGAGAGAGAGAAGAGATATATCTTAGACCTCAAGAAAAACTTTTGGGTCATTTATACCCTAAAATAGAAAGGAGGGCCTGGATATGAGGATAGAGGGCGGCAGCTGGCTTGGAGTCAGAAGGGCCACTCATGGCCGCTTCCCACTCCTGGAACTCTTCCCCTATCCAGGTATCTCCCCAGGCCCCCAGGGCGGCCCACATTCCAGGGAATGCTGAGGAGGTGCCTGGTGAAGGAGGTCTAACCCTGAAGGCTGAGACCCGGACTTGGTTCCAGAAGACCCAGGCCCACTGGCTCCTAGAGCATGGGGCAGCCCCTGCCTGGTTCCATGGCTTCATCACGCGGAGGTGAGTCACAGAGGAGGCCCACAGAGGGGCAGGGGCAAGTCCTGGGTGCTTTGGCCAGTCAGGAGTAAACTGAAGCTCTGACTCCAGACCCCAACTCCTAGAGTTTCAGGCTTTTCACTGAGAGACCTCTCCCAGGGAGATAATTGGAGAGGCTCTAGCCCACTCCCCTCTACCTAAGTTTCCCATCATTTGGCTTCATTATCCTCCTGTTTCTATGGCCTTTTTTTTTTTTTTTTCTGAGACAGAGTTTTCACTTTGTTGCCCTCAGTAGAGTGCTGTGGCATCACAGCTCACAGCAACCTCAAACTCTTCAGCTTAAGCGATTCTCTTGCCTCAGCCTCCCACATAGCTGGGACTACAGGCCCCCACCTCAACACCCAGCTATTTTTTGGTTGGAGTTGTCATTGTTATCTGGCAGGCCCAGGCTGGATTCAAACCCACCAGTTCCGGTGTATGATGTGACTGGTGCCCTAGCCTCTGAGCTACAGGCACTAAGCCTCTATGGCCTCTTGTCCTCATATTCCCCCTCCCCCCCCCCACCATCCTTATTTTATCTTTATCTCTAGCTCTCTCTAACCCCCTCCTCCTTCTTCCCACCCTTGCAGATTCTCCCTCCTCCATTTCTCAGCCTCTCTTATTTCTCTCCTTCACCTGCTCAGATCAGGTCACGACTTTTGAAATCTAGAAGTCTAATTACCATCCTGTTGCAATGATCACAGCCCCTCCAGGCTGCCCATCCAGGGTGAGGCCAGGGAAGGATACAAGGCTGGCGGTGGGTCTCATGAGTGGGTCCCTTGGCCCCCTGTCCTCTCTCAGTCCCCACAGCAGCAGCACCCACATCCTCTTTCCCACCTTCTCTCCTTGGCTGCTTCAGCATCCTGCCCGGGGGTGGGGGTCCGTCAAGAGCTGAGAACACAGAGGTGAGAGAAGAGTCAGAGCAGGGGCCCACCTCTCCGCACTCATCCACAGGGAAGCCGAGAGGCTGTTGGAGCCCCAGCCTCAGGGATGCTACTTGGTACGGTTCAGCGAGAGCGCGGTGGCCTTCGTGCTGACTTACAGGTGAGGGGCGGACCAGAGGCAGGGTTGGGGCGACCAGAGGGGTGCGGCAGGACTTCCGTGGGGAGGAGTCCCACCTGGTGCTAGTGGCTCTGGCCAGGGACAAGGAGAGGGTCTGACCCCAGTGGTGCCTTCCAGGAGCCGGACCTGCTGCCGCCACTTCCTGCTGGCCCAGCTCACGGACGGGCGCCACGTGGTGCTGGGCGAGGACAGCGCCCACCCGCGGCTGCAGGACCTGCTGCAGCACTACTCGGCGCACCCGCTCAGCCCCTATGGGGAGACGCTTGCCGCGCCCCTTGCCCGTCAGGTACGTCCCCACCGTGGACCCTGAGAACAGAGCCATGAACAAGACTGTCTCAAACGCACAGCGTTTACCTTCCTCAGCAAACACACAATAGGAATCAAGTGTGACAGTGGTGATGCAGGAGAGGAACAGGTGCCATTGAGCCTGGCGGACAGCAGCATCAGGGCCTTCCCAAGCAAGTTCAGGCATTTCTGGAGACAGCTGTGTGCCAGGCATCCTTCCCAGCACTGGGAAAACAGCAGTGAACAAAAGTGATCAAAATAGGCTCCCTGCCCTTAGCTCAATAGTTAGGCACTGGCCATGTGCCTGGGGCTGGTGGGTTCAAACCCGGCCAGGGCCTGCTAAAAACAACAATGACAACAAAAAAATAGCTGGGCCTTGTAGTAGATGCCTGTAGTCCCAGCTACTGGGAGGCTGAGGCAAGAGAATTGCTTAAGCCCAAGAGTTTAAATGTCACATAGCGTGTGCATAGCGTGTGCAGTAATGATAAGCAAGTGCTGAGAAGAGAAACAAACAGTACTAGGGACTGGCAGGGTTAGGACAGTTTTACACGGGGATATGAGGGAAGGCCACTCCAGTAAGGGGATATTTAAATAAAGGCCTGGGGCCTGGCATACCAACCTGAGCAAGAGAAAGATAACCTGTCTCTAAAAATAGCTGAGCATTATGGCGGGAGCCTGTAGTCTTAGCTACTTGGGGGGCTCAGGCAAGAGAATCACTTGAGCCCAGGAGTTTGAAGTTGCTGTGAGCTATGACATCACAGCACTCTACTGAGGGCAACAAGGTGAGACTTTGTCTCAAAAAACAAAATAATAGGCCAAACACAGTGGCTGACACCTGGAATCCTAGCACTCTGGGAGGCTGAGGTGGGTGGATAGCTTGAGCTCACAGGTTTGAGACCAGCCTGAGCAAAAAGTGAGACCCCATCTCTACTAAAAAATAGAAAAACTGAGGCAAGAGGATCACTTGAGTCCAAAATTTGGAGGTTGCTGTGAGCTATGATGGCATGGCATTCTATCCAGGGCAACAGCTTGAGACATTGTCTCAAAAAAATAAATAAATAAAATAAAAATACAAATGAATAAAATAAAATAAAATTAAATTAAAAGGCCTGACTAGAGTACGGGAAGAAGCCATGCGGATGACTTGAGGAAAAGCATAGACTGACAGAGACAAGAACAGCTTCATAGTACTTGATTGGGGTCAGTTCAAAGAAGTGGGGGCAGTGCCTATAAGCACCTCCTCTTTTGTGAGGAATAAGTGGGACTCGAGGATCCCCAAGCCACAGGAGCAGGAAGTGGGGATGTCTGGGGATGAGGAGGAGCCAGCTGGAACTGAGAAAGCTGAAGGCAGAACTGTCAGAGTCCAAGATCTATGTCTAGGTCACACAGGGTCTTGTCACCCAAGCTCTCAGGAGTTCAATTTATCCTGGAGCAACAGGCTCAGTGAGTTCTGTAAGATCATTGTGTTCAAAGACTGGAGAATAGTTGGAAGGCCAAGAGGATACAGCCAGAAGAATCTGGAGGCCTGATCTCAGGTTCTGGCCACAGCACATAAAAAATGTGCACAGGCTTGGCACCTATGGCTCAA